GAAGCGCCATTGATTTAGCTCGGTGAAAGAGAGGAATGATTCTGCCGCTTGCGCCGGAGGTTAGCTCCTCCACGTTCGTCGCCGCCATTGACGGTGGTTCCGGCGGATGAGAGAGAAATTGCGGCGAAATTCCGGCGAGTTGAGGCGGTGGAGAGAGGATGGTGGAGGAGAGTTTGTTTTTTTTAGAGAGAGAAAGAGGAGGAAGAAATGTTGTTGAAGAAATTAAGGGAAATTTTATAGAGGAATTTTTTTATACGAGTATTTAATTTTATTTTAAAATGGAAGGAAATAAAATGGAAATTTGGATTTTTAGTTTTGTTCATTTATTTATTTAAAGGGAGAAAAATAAAAAATGGGGATTGGTTGGTTGGAAAATGGAGACAGAATGAGGAGAGAGAGAAGAGGAGGTGGGCGTTTAAATGTTCCAACCTTTTTCCGCGTGATTATTGGGATGGATTTTCGGCTGGTTTCCACTTGTATGAATACAATTATTTAACATGACTTAACTTTGAAATAGACTCAATCCAACTTAATCCGACTCAATTACTCGAATTAACACTTCTAAATTAGGTATCCTATTGTGAAAGTTCGACTACAAAAGTACAAAGTATATACTTGTATGTAAGATGAATATGCACTATGCATTCTATGGTAATCAAGAGTATTTTATCATACATTTATTCATGTAATAAAAAAATAAAGTAAGAATGAGCAATCTTGATATACGTTTAAGTGTGTATTAATAGTAGCATATAAGGTGATTGCTGGCTATATTATACTTGGTAGGAGTCTTTGTAGGGGGATGACTTAGATAATCAAAGATGTTTATAAAGCTCCTTCAAAGATTTGATCGTAGGAGACATCGTCATATTTTTAGGGCTAATCAAACGGTAACTAAATAGCTAATGTAGGACACAAATTACTTCTCAAAGTTTTATTTATTGTTCGATGCATCTTGTCTTCTTTGAATTTTATTACTCATACATCTTGTATTCTTATGTACTTCATATTATATGTGGACTAAAAAAAACAAGGAATCACAAGGGATTTATAACCTCGTTGGTATTATTTATTATTATTTTTTTTATCAAGTTAAACTTAAATTTGATTAATAAAAAATTATTTAATTATTGCGATTAAATTCTAATATGTGAAAATAATTTCAATTGTAGAATCGGTGATGTGATGCTAAAATTATTCTCTTTTTAAACGGAAATTGGCAATATGTCGTTGAACTAGATTCCGCTTGACTTTAGGACGTGAAATAGGAATTCAAGTCAACAAAGTAACACTCGACAACAAATTATTAGGTTCGTGGAAAAATAAAAAAATGGCATATTGATTAATGACTAGCTAATACAAGTATCTGCCTAATAACTAACGTATAGACCTTTTTCAATTAACATGAAATCAATTTGATCCGAATTTCATGGATTAATACTGGTATAATACTATTAATATAATAAGAGCATGGGCCAATGATTAGCTCATGAGCTTATACGATGAGGTAAGGAAGTATTATTATAGGGGAGTATGCTTGATGCCTTGAGGCTATATTGCGCGATTGGATAGCCAATATTTTATGTAATCGTAGAAAAACTTAAAACATCCGTTTGTAGTCAATATTATACTCCGTAAGATATATTACTCCATACTTTATAAATTATTATACATTTTGTATACTTATTATATAATATGATTGGAGACTATGTTCTATTTAACTTATTTCATTAACTTACTAGATATTCAGCCATAACATATAAAATCAGATCAGGTGTCACAGTCCGGGATTTTGGCACCGAAACGTGCGGCGTGCGCTAGCCTTTGTGCGGAAGAGGGGCTTGTGAGCCGAAGCAACACAAGCGGGCTATTAAATCACAAGAGCACCCACGTCTTTTGGCGACGGAGTGCGGGTGGTCGGAGCTTGTGACGGCCGATACTTAAAGGCGGGAACAAGGAGTCCAAACCACGAGTTCTTATATCATCAAATTGGTGTGGAGGGAAGCTATTATGCAAGTAAGACATAATATCTATAAAGGTCTATACGCTAGTTAAGTATTTTATTATTGCAAGATAAAGGAACTATTGGAAAAAGCTACAAGTAGTAAGTAGCAAGCTGTATGAGTATCAAATTCCAGGTCCTTTTTGGATCACGACAAAATGATTTCTTAGAATTGTCTATCATTATTCTAGATAGATTATTTATACGGAGTACTACATATGATATTGTGATTAACTCATATTAGAGATATTTTGAAAATAAGAACCCTTTATCTTATTTTTTTCTCTCACTTTTAAAGTGTTGACCCGTAAATATTGGATTAAAACAAAATAAAAGTCTAGTTAGGGTGCTTTTATTTACCTTATTAAAATTAAATCCATATATTTTGGTAATTATTTGTAAAATTGTAAGATAAAGTATACTGGAGATTTGGATTAGGAAGATCAAAACAAGTCATAGCTTTAAAAATAAGCAGAGCGGTATAAAGGCAGTGACCACAGACAATTCATCTTGGATAGCTATGTGATAGGAGTTGATGCCCATGCCCACTAATATCCAACAAATTCGAAAGGTACATGTACTATTAGATTTATTCTACTATTAGGCAGGGTCGATGAGGCACATTCATCACTTTGAATGCAACAAATAAATATTGTGCAATTTTGACCTTCTACAGAGAAGTTTGGGTTTTACTTGAAGCTATATATGGACTGCTGGTTTTGAGGTGTAAAAGCGTGGGAAGTTTTCGCCTTAGAGGCCTATCGATGGGGTAGGGATCGCCACAATTCAAAATGACTCGACTCATTACAAGCTCAGCTCGCGTTAGGCCATGTATGATTAATTTACCACGGAGTGTAAATATACATAGTAAAAACCATAAATTAAATGGCAAGATAACTATATAATACGGATTAGGCTATACATAAATGTCATATATAAAAGATTGGTATGAGACAAAATTTCACACAAATTAGAATGAGTGACGATGAGAAGATTTTCAGAAAATAGTGAAAGATTGAATGATTGATACATTTACACCATTTTTCATACAGTTGAGTAGAAAATAAATGAAGAAAATAGAAGAAAGCAATTTCTTTTCCTTTCATAAAATCTTAAGATGGATTGGTAAGATCTAAAGGAAACATGGAGGCCCATTTCTTCACAAACCCCCTCTAGAAGTCTAGATTTCTTAACCATTGTATCCAAACACATTTGTTCTCCATTTGTCCCAAAATATTAAT